CTGCTTTTAGTACCTCGTATTAGTTCCACATGGCTGCTGTAACAAACTCTCTTCTTCCTCCGTCAGACCCTCATTTCCGTCCTTGTGTCAATCTCGGCTCTCTGTTGCTTTCCCTTCATTTTCAAGGACTCCTGTGATCAGGCCGTGTCCACCTTGATATGTCCCCTTGGACTGTAGCACAGCTGCATGTCATTTTTGCCACATACCTTTCTAATGTTGATACCCTTTAGTTCCTCATTTTGTGGTAGCCCCCAACCGAAAGATTATTTCATTGCTACTTCATAACTTTAACTTTGCTACTGTTCAGAACTGTAATGAAAATATTGTATGTGGAAGATATGTGATATATGACCTCCATGAAAAGGTTTTCACACCTCCAAGGGACCACAACTCACAGGTTGAGAACCATTGTTCTAGAGGCTACTACAGGAACATTTGGGGGGAGGGAGCCATTTCTGTTCCTACTGCAATCAACCTGTGTCTCCCATTGATTGTTTTTCCACAGAACTGCAGGACACTATCCCATTAACGCTTCTACCATTTCCTAGTTTGCAGTAATACCCTCTCACACCCGACATCTCCCAAGCCCAGAATTCCGTGAGAAATCTGCCTGTTCACGGCCTCATCATAATGTCTTTCTTTCTGCTGGTGTTTGTTGAAAGCAATGCAGACTTTTTCTGCTGTGCACCTCATCATTCTTCCAGCCTCTTGCCAGTGTTCAGTCCCAGAGTGGTTTATAGGTGTGGGTTATTCAGTACCCTGAGTCTGGCCAAAATAGTTTTGTGGTTGCCATCACAGTTTATTCTCATCTCATAATTTAAAGCAACACAGCCGCCTTGACTTACAGTTAGTTCTGCAGGTCTTTGCAGGACCAAAAGAAGCTGTCTACAGGCTGCCCCCACTATGGGGCTGGAGGAGGGACTCTACTCCCCACTTGTTTTGGTTGTTGGCAGAATCTAATTCCTTCACACAGTTAAGTTGTACTTACGATGCATCTCTCTGGCCCTCTCTTAGGCTCTTCTCTTCCAGTGGTAAGGGCTCATGTGATTTAAGTCAAGCACACTTGGGTAATCCAACGAAATCCCCCCAAGTGACAGCCTTAAACTTAACCCCGTTTACAAGTATCTTCAGCCATACCATGTAACAGATTCCCAAACCTGTGGGGATTAAGGTATAGCATTTGTTAGGGACATTATTCTTGCTACCACAAGCTTTATAATCTGGAGACACAACACATAGTTTCTCCCTTTTCTGGCACTGTGCCTGGCAGTCTCACCAGTTTCCTCATTCTTTGCTTTCCTAGCCTAAAAGAGATGGGTCAGAATTCCCAACAATGGAGAAAACATCAGCCCTGTCATGACCGTGAGCTGTGACCACAGTCTAAGCTCTAGAAGAAAGCATATGTGTTTGGGTTTGGTGGGGTTTGCTTGCAACGGAAAGAGCACATGGGTTGGTACAGTGGGAAACTCAGTTTTAAAGTCCATCTCCCCTCTACACATAGCTCATATCTCTTCTGACATTAGATTATTATTAGGTATTACTTATATTGCACAACCTTATGTCCTCATCAAAAATCAAAGGCAAATATGTATAAAGCAGGAAGAACTGAATGTGTGCCCTCTGAAATCTAATCCATGGTGTCAGCATAAATGTTGTCCTCAAATCATGGGCTCCTTGGGAATACTGTATTCTCCACACCATTCTTATCAGGAGTCCCTCGAATTCTAAGGTTGGTAGCACACGCTTTTGATTCAGAAATTATATATCTACATTTGAGCTCTGGTTCTGCCTCTGTTTTTCATTTTAGCTCCTTGTGTCTTATTTCCTTATGAGACAAATGCTTTTGTGGTGTGCCGGCTGTCAGAAATTAACAAGGGCAACTTAGTCTTCACTGGGTATCTGGTGAGTCATCCTGCTGCCGTAGCTCTTCAGCGTTCTATGAAATTAATGCATCATTATTTGCATTTACTCACTGAAAAAAATAGTTGTCTATGGTTAAGTGACCATCATTCTAAGAGGTTAGGGGACATGTCACAGGTCACCCAGGAATAATAATAATATAACACTGGAATAGTAGAATCAGGACCATAACCAGGTCTCTTCTGCCTCAGAAGATGGGCATATGACCTATGTGCTGTCTTGCCTACCTAGAAACTTCAGCAAGGCAAGGACGATAGAGTGCCTAGTGTATAGTTGGGTACTTCATAAGCACGGCTCCATTGGTTACCCTGATATTCTGCAGCTACCTTGAAGAGCCACAAGGACGAGAAAGTGGCGGCTTCACTCTTTCCTTCCTAGACTTTCCCACTTGGCAGAGAGGCACAGTGAACTGCATTTCAGGAGGGGCAGGAGGGATGAGAAAACCATTGCATTATTTGTGTCAAGTTCCACTTGTCTTAATGGACTTGTTAAAAGCACCCCAGTGGCAAGTGTGAGTCTTAATGGCATTTTATAAAAGCCATTGTGATGAATTAGCACACGAGGCAAATTAAAAACAGCTTATCGCTTCTTAAATTAGGTGATGAGGCACTGTAGCATTTTCCCCAGATGTGTGGATCCATTAATATCCAAAGGAGACGGAAGCTGAAATGTGTCAGATGCTGGCTTTTAGGAACCTGACAATCCTGAATCGGCGTGATCCTAGAGCGGGCAGGTTGGACAAGATAACTGAATTCCTCAGGCAGAGCGTCTACTGCCCTTTGGAAACTCTTGGGAGAGGATGGCACACAGGAGACTGTTTGACCTGGAGAGAATGGCTGGAAATAATCTCCACATCCCTTATGACATATGAGGGTAGTGAGATGTGAGGAAAGGAGGCATGCAGTAGTCAACCTGGAACATTCTAGAAGCACGTACTGAGGACTTGCTTTGGGTCCAGAAGACAGAAAGGGGCTCTTAAGTTGTCTTTGCACACAGTATGCAAGGCAGACATGTTCTGGAAGCCGTGAGGCTCTGAATTATGTTGTTGAGCACTTGTGACAAGAGGCCATAGGTATTGTCTGCAGGATGAATTGTTAGAGACTTGGCATGAAGGGTTTGTGCTGGGATCTGCCTGGAGGCACCACAGCTGTCCCTAGCCTAAGCAATACTGTCAGTATAAAACCACCATGTGGTTTTATGTCCAAAACTAGCAGGGATCTTTCCAAAATCTAAGTTCCCTAATATCACCTAAAGGACACCTTTGCCATGGGCCTTTTTAAGACAAGCATGTTAATTTTTCTTTTCTTTCCCACAAAGTGCAATCAGTAGAGAGGAATCTAGGACAGAGGGAGATGTAGTTCATACATGCAGTTAGCCAGCATGTGCAATGCACTGTAGTAATGCTTTATGAACGTTGCTTCGTAGGATTTACCCACACAGCTCAGTAATGGAGCCAGTACCCACCATTGCCTACCATATGGAAGCAACTGGAGCCTATGAAAGAGAAGTAGTTGGCCTTGGTAACCAGTGGGGCTATTAAGGCACTGTAGGAACTGGGCACAGCCTTAGTATTTCTTCTTCGTTATAATTCCTTCTCCTAGGTAGCTCCTATCACATGCTAGATGTTGCCTGTGTTGTTCCCATTGTGGGAAGGTAGCTGTGCACTGCACACATTCGGCTCTGGAGTGTGAGCTGATTTCTATCTTGTCACACGATACTTCCCATCAGCAAGAGTGGTGGCTGTCCTCCCCCACCCCCACATTTCTGGGATGGGACTTTGTGTGAGTCCCTGATAGGGAAGATGCAGATGGTCAAGGAAGCAATCATTTATTCTGGGCACTCAGACCAAAAGACTCTCCAAATTACATCACTTAGGGATACTGGAAATGGCTGTATTGTAAGTAACTCAACTCCTATAATATTTGAGGGTTAAGTGCTATCTTCAGCGCTTTTTGGTTACCATGACAGCAGATGCGACATGTCTTTGACAGAGAAGAAAAGGCAGGGGGAGGGAAGGAAAAGAGCCAGGGTTGGCCCTAATGATTTTAGAAAATTCTACTCTCCAACTCTACGTTGTTTTACATGCATGGTGGTTGTAATGTAAAGAAGGTCTCAGAGCAGAATGCAAGAAATTCATGAGGAGGTGGTAGAGTCTTCTCCAGGGAAACCTTTGACACTGTGTGTGGTGGGTTTTAAGAAAGGGGATATGTCAAAAAACAGACAATATAGCACATGCAATAAATTGTCACATCCTTGTGGTTTCAACTGTCCTATTGACTGTTCATGCTGCTTCTCACTCCGGCACCGAACCAGTCTTAGAAAGTGCAGTGCATTCAGCCCTTGCAAGGGCTCAGCCAAGCCTCTTCCATGGCAACAGAGGATTCCAATTCAGAGTGATCAGCATGGTGATGAGGCAGGCCTGGATTTCATAGAAGCAAAAGGAGCTGTGATATTGTTCAAAGGATTTCGTTCTATACATATATAAGCACGGATCTTTTTCCCTGCTTCTTATATTTTAAGCACTCATTCAGGTCATTACAGTAACTCTTCAGGCACCCAGGATCAGTGTTGACTCAATATTCCATTGTTGGGGGGAGTCGGTCACTCTGGGTAGACATTTCTCATGTTTCCCACTTTTGCTCTATTTCAAAGGAAGGTGTCTATAAGTTAGTATGCTGAGGGGAATTTATCTCTAGCACAGAGAACTTAAGAAAGATAACCATGGTTTTCTTCATTTATTTTTCATTTGTACAATGTGGTTCTAATAGAAAGAAAAAAATTTTTCAATTGGGTAATATACTGAGGGCCTAGGTTCTCATTATTGCCTGTTATATGTGATGGTCCCTGCAAAAGAGAAGTAGACTCTACTTATAAGGACCTATTGGCCGCCCCTGCAACTAGCAAGGAAAAGCAAGAAGTAACCTCAGTGTAGGACCGAAAATAAAAACTGTGTAGCACAATCCAGGAAAACATTGCAGAAGATGTTGGAGCCCCCCAGCAAGAGCTGAAATTCCAAAGCCCATGTTTTACATCAACGCCATCAGCTTCCTAACCGTGCCATCTTTTGTCCTCTCTTTCAGAGCCATGTTTGACTATGACAAGAGCAAAGACAGCGGGCTGCCTAGCCAAGGACTTAGTTTTAAATACGGAGACATCCTCCATGTCATCAACGCTTCTGATGATGAGTGGTGGCAAGCCAGAAGGGTCATACTAGATGGGGACAGTGAGGAGATGGGCGTCATTCCCAGCAAACGGAGGTAAGGATACCTTCTTCCCCCCCCCCCATGTGTGTTAGCTATCTAGGGAGTGGAAATGCAGGGGGGGAGATGGGAAGACTGCACACAAAATGACTATTTAAGTATCATAGGCATTCTACAGGAAAATTGTCAGTGGTGACAGGTGACAAGAATAAAAAATTTCTCATTCTCTGCGTGTTAGGATTTTACCAAAATTGGTGAGTGTGATGAGGCAGGAAGGGAAGGGGAAGAGCAGCCTCCTCGCTTCTCCTAGACTGTGCCTTATGAGCCTGCCCACCCATTCACACTTGATGCACTGATTCTGTGGCTCCGCATTGACCAGGAAATTTTATAGAAAAGCCAAACATAAAAGGCAACAACTTACTGCACTAAGGCCCAGATGCTTGAGCAATGAACTGCTCTGCAGCTAGGTGGACAGATAGATACCTCATTCTCTTTCAGTTAGTCTTGTTCCCCTTCCCAGCATTCCCTTCAGCTGCTCAGATTTTTCATCTGTGTGTTTCTTAGGTGTATCAAGCCCTCCTCTTTCAAATGCTTCCTCAGTTCTGTTTTTGAAAGGCAGAAATAATTCTCACGTGAGTCAACTCAACCATAAATCCTAGCATCCACTCATCACCACCATTAGGAATTCCCTTCTCACGAATGTCCTTCTGGCACAAGACATGGTCTACGAAACAAACACTGACTGTATCAAAGCTTAAGTCAGTCAGCATTGCAGCATGGGTCGGGAAGAGGCCATGAGAGTCCGTGCCTAACTGAGGAGGACAAGATGGCTGTGAGGGGAGAGAGTTAGTTTCCATTGGAGGTGTCATCCCTTGCAGGTTGACCATACTCCAGTGGATGACCCCATACCCACACATATGGGCATTGCCAACTGGACTCTTGTGGGTAAGAGGGTGAGGGGACAGAGAACAGACATGAAGCTGGAAGGAGGAAGAGGAAGAAGAACGAGGATCCAGGAGAAAGATGGACGGAAAATCCACTCCTCCACTTCCCCACCGCTTCTCCCTCCCAGTTGTGTGTAGGCTCTGTTTAATCCACTGAGTTCCTGGAGTCCTGAAGCAGTGATTCTTAATACTACTTCATTGATGTGTTTGTGCATCTTCATGTAAAAAAAAAAAGTCAGGACGACATGTGTTCCGGGTTGCTCAGATTCAGTCACCAAAGCTGTCAGAGGAGCTGTCATGTTCAGTTGGTCCCAGGGATAGGGGCTGAGTGGAGGGACGAATTCTGTCAGAAATAGATTACAGCTCATTTTCAAGAAAGCATTCTTCTCATTGAAATTGCCCAGCGATGCTCTAGACTACGCAGGACGACATGAAAGGGTCTCGGACTTTAGATGGGAGGATGGAGCCAGGAAATGGTCCAGAGCTCCCCAACTGCAGGCTCGTGTGATGCTGACCATCGTGTGGCCAGTCGTTCGTTCAATTAGTGTGCATCATTTCCCCCAAACGATTTCCCACTTGCCGCTGACCATCCTTGAATTAGTTTTTTTTTTTTTTTCTCAATCTTTTGAAAGAAGCAACCTTTCAATTAAAGGAAACCATGTCACCAGCCATACAACAGCTGCCCTGAGGAGGGGCTTTGTTCAAGCGCTGCCACGTTCATGTGGGCTCGCACTCTTTTGCTCACAGATACCCTACATTGCAGTTATATTTTTGTTTATTTATTTGGTTTTTCAAGACAGGGTTTCTTTGTAGCCAAGCAGGCCTCAAAGTCAGCAAGCTCGGCCTACCGCTGCTTCTGAATGCTGGGATTAAAGGCATCTGCCACCACTGCCTGGCTGCAGATCTATTTTATACAAAATAAAAATATTTGTATTTATTTGATTATAAATTTATATTATGAATATTTTCTTAGGATTGTAATTATGTCAGAAATGTTTTATGTATTTTATAAAGCTAGTTCTGTCTCACCGTATAAGAGTAATTTTAGAAAAACATAAGGAGAAAAATAAAAATCACATCCTTGTTGATTCACATGTACTAAGTGCCCAGCTCCATGTGAAGTCATGAACCATAGAATAGGTTAGAGACAAATAAAACAGGTAGTGCTGGGAACAATTTTCATGTGCGGCATACTCTCAAATGAAGACTATTTTCTAGGTGTCAGATCTTGAGCATTGGGTGCCAAAAAAGAAAGAACATGTTCTTGAAAGCCCTGACTCTCGGTCTTGGTTCTTGTTTCACTGGGAAAATGAACCACTGTATTGGATTACAGGGAGAACTCAGAGTATAGAGGGAAGTGGGGAAGATCTGGGAGGACTTTGGAGAGGGGAAACCATAATCAGAATACATTGTGTGAAAAATCTATTTCCAATTTAAAAATATTAGGAAACCACAGTGATTGATAGGTAAGTGTGTGTGCACTTATGTGTGTCTGGCTATATTCTTTGTAAACAGAGATTTAAGTGATGACCCCACTAAAACTTGTCTATTGAGGTCACTTAATGTTAGTGAAAGGGTGACCTCAGAAATCTGTTAGGAAGTGTGGAGTGCTCTGCCCAAGTAATCCTTAGGTTGGAATACTGCATTGAACCCTGTGTCACACATGCTTGTGGCCTCTGTGGGTCTGTGCAGAACTGACCGCCATTCTCTGATCAAATCACCGCGCATGCTCCACATGCTGCAGTCATGACAATGGGATGAAGCAGTGGTTCCCATCATTAGTCAAATTCATGCAAAGGAGTCGGAATAAAATTAAAGGCTCTATCAATGGTTTTAGGAAAATCTGAGGAGGTGAATAAGAATGACCATTTGAGCTTAAACTTAACAGGGAGAAGACTAGCTGAGTAGCTCCAAGCAGCCTTCTTCCCAATGGACTACTTCTACCTAGCAGTTTTCCCCAAGCTCTTCTGGCTCTCCTGACAACCGTTATGTGTTGGGTGGATGCAAGGAGAGATTCTCAACACCGGTTTCTCTCCAGGGAATATGTTGCTTTAATGTCTGATGTTAGATGTGAAAGGTTTTGTCCAGCCCTTTCCACCCAAATATTCCACTCTGCCATTGGAATCAATGTGTTCTGAGTCTTCGTTCTGTAGCTATGGAAACCCAGCTCCTCGGTGATTCAGTGGGAAACACAAAAGAGCTCTCGGTTAGGAAGTCGCCTGCTGCTAATTACAGAGCTATGAATAGCTTAGACTTCATCAGCCATTAAGTTTCTATAGATTTGGGATTAGTTTTCTCTCACTTGCTCTTTTCTTTCCCAAGAAAGAAAAAAAAATGGAATTAAAGCCAACCAGATTTAAACAAAGCCATGTCACAGCAGTCTACCGGATAGTATTTTTGTACCACGATCTTCTCCTGGAGACCTACTGAGGGTTATGTGTACCTGGACCAGAGAACTATACAAACTTTCAAATCAATAGAAAGTGTTTAAAGAAGGGAATCAAGATGTAACTTCCAGAGATAAAATTCAGTACTGTTGTGGGGAGCAGGCAATAAAAACAACACTTCACTGCAGAGACTTGGAAAAGTCAAGGAAACACAACTTTCTCAACTCTAGCTTAAAACAGGAGCTAATCAAATTTTATTTTCCTTGGATTTCTTAAGCCCTGACTCTCATATCCGAATTATCCTTCCCCATCTTTCATTGATATTGCCTGCGTTATGGAACATACCCCAATCTTTGTCCTGCCCTTCCAAAATTCTTTTCCATTGCACCAGGATCCTTTTCCTAAGATACTAGCTTGAAAAGCTAGAGAGATAACTCGATGGTAAAGGGTGTTAGCTGTTTTGCAGAGGACCAGAGTTCAGGATCCAGTACCCAAGTCCATGGGACCCAATACCCTATAAGTCCTGCATACACATGAGCCTAACTACATGCACACACACATACATATCTACATAAGTAAAAATAAATCTTTAGAACCCTAGTTTGATTATACCACCTTCCTCATTTATGCCTTGTTACTACTGCCCAACTCCTTGAGTAGCTCAGAGGAAGAGGAGGAGGAGTTTGCATTCGCATGTGGATGCTCACTTGTGTATGGATGCATGCATACATAAACCCATGAATGTCATTTTGTAGGTTCCTCCCCTTTTTTTAAGACAAGGCCTCTATTTGGCCTGGAATCCACAAAGCAGGCTGAACTTACTAGCCAGCCTGCCCTAAAATCTACCTATCCCTGTCTCTTCTAGGATGATAAACTCTTGCCCCGTCCCCATGCCCAGCTTTTTACATGGCTTCAAACTCGGGTCCTTGTCATAAACAAGGACTTTATCAACTGAGCTATCTCCCCAACCATATTTTTTAAGACATTTTGTGATTTCATGTAGGTCAGTCAGGCTAGCCTTGAACTCAAACATCTGATTTTGACCTTGACTTCATCATCCTGCCGTCTCTACCATCTAAGTGGTAGGTTTCAGATGTGTACCAGTACACCCGGCCCCCAACATCCTAGGAAACCCCACAACTTCACCCAGCCTCCACTCATCCTGTGTGGACCCCATGGCGCTGTCCTTCCGGTTCCCAGCTTGGTAGGGACTGGAATGCATGCTCACCTTTTCTTTCTCACCCCTCTAGCTTCAGATGAACTGTGGTCCCCTTCCAGTACCGCAGCAGGACTCGCCACCCCTCTCTCCCCCCAGTGATGCTGTTAGGAGTGTTTGTCTGTCTCTGTTCCTGCTGAGAGCGTATCACGATGGATGTGCATTACAGCCTTGTTGTAAATGTTTCCTTTATTAAGGAATCCTTGGTTAATAACATGGCAAATGCTTCTTTAGTGGCGAGTAAGATATTGATGCTGTCAAAATGACGGAAGGACATTAGACTCCTTGGAGGAACATTCTAGGGTACATGTAACATGTTGGTTGCCAAGCAAAGCTAGCAGTATAACACTGCTCTTTAATAGGAGAGCAGGAGGGAGGAGGAGGGGCTTGTTTGTTTCCCCTCTAGGCATTAGTTTTCCTGGGCTGTGATTTCCTGAAATAGATTTTTGTTGATCCATAAGCATTTCCATAATTTTTGTCTGTTACTTCCAAATATTAGGACTGTCAGTGCATGTATTTCCAAAGACATATTAGAATTTTAGACAATTTTTACCAAGTTTTTCATTTTTTAAATCCTTTCCAAGGAAACAAAACATTCTCAAACATGTTTTATTTGACTTATAGGGACAAGAGGAAGAAGTGCACTTTACTTAATAAGGAACTTTTTGTTTTGTTTTGTTTTCTCATTAGAGTGGAACGAAAGGAGCGTGCCCGGTTGAAGACAGTGAAGTTCAATGCAAAACCTGGCGTGATTGACTCGAAAGGGGTAGGTACAAAATGATGGAAGCATTGAGTTCTCTCAGTTACCGTAGATTCAGCGACAATTAACATTCAGGCTTTTAACAGTAAAGAAATAATAGTGCCACTAGACAAAAGAACACTGTCCTAAATGTATCGCTAAAGGAATGCCATTTCTGATAAAGTGGGTTTGTTATATAGATGTTAACTGCTGGGACAAAGCCAGTGATGATGAAAGTGATGTGTTGACTATACTGAAGATGGTAAAACATAGTCTAGGTGTTTTCCTTAAATGTTCTGAAAGGTCACATTTCATAGACAGTATCTACTCATCTGCTAATGTATCTAGTTTGACACACATTATACACAAAAGACTGTAGTCATAGAAATACAGACATGGGTCAGTTAAGTGAATATGTAGATTGTTGTGACAGACATGGGAGAGAATTAACAACAAAATCCTACCAAGATTAACACTCATGTGTACATCCTCTTAGCCCCGGCTTTACTGGCAGAGAATTCAACTATCATATGACTTTCCCACTTAAATTTAGAGTTGGGCAGCTGTCACCTCCATTGGTTCGGGAAATTTCATCACTGCATCAAGAAATCCTTTCGAGATTAGCATAATCATTTCCCATTCCTCGGCCTTCCTTCCCCACCAGACCACAGTCAGTAACCTACTTCGTCTTCATAGATTTGCCCGTAAATACCTCCTATAAATGGAATGTGCGTTTTTGTGACTGCTGATTTCACAGCGCAATACTTTTTAAGTTGCGTTTATACTGTTTCATGAATAAATAAAAGTGCTTCATTTCTTTTATTGCCATATAAAATTCTATTGTATGGCCACACCACATTTAGCATGTCCATTCATCAAATGACAGACATTTGTGGTATTCCCAGTCTTTACCTACTGGGGGTAATACCAGCGGAACAATTTGTATTAAGATTTTGATGCGCATATTTTTACTTTCATTGATTATAATAGTGCAGCAAAATTGCTGATTCCTTCAGCAATATGATGGCTGTGGAGCACGTTAGGAACTGCCAGGTGGTTACACAGTGGCCACACACTTCACATTTCTCTCAACAGTGTATTGTTCTGCGATTTCTTCACATGCTGAACAATGCTTCTTATCATGTGTTTTTTACAGTAATGTCTATCTTGGTTAGCATGAAGCCGTGTGTTATTGTGGTTTTGATTTGTATTTCCCTAATCAGTGGAGCTGGCGAACTTCTTTTTCTGGCCTTAGTATATCTTATTCTGTACTTGGCATATCTTTTCTAAGAGCTGTCTACTCAAATTAGGTATATTTTTAAGTTGGCATTTCCCTGCTGCTATTTTAACTGGGTTATAGAGTCTCTAAATATACTCTGGGGTTGTGGTAAAACCTTTCTCTTCACTTATTCATGTTTATGTTTCTGTTTGTGAACGTGTGTGTGTGTGTGTGTGTGTGTGTAGTAACATGTGTATGGCATGGTGCACATGTGGGTGACTGGCTAGTTAAAGGCAGAAATCTTCATACATTGTTCCTTCACCTTTGAGACAACATCTTTCAATCAAACCTGTAACTCACCAATCCCACTAGTCTTTCTGTCAACTTGATCCAGAGATCCCCTCTCTGCCTTCTGAGGCTGGAAATACAGACAACTTAGCTGGGCTCTGAACCACTCAGCTCCAGTCTTGTTTTGGTGGCAAGCACTTTAACCACTGACCCATCTCCCNGAACTTTTTGAAATGTAGAAATTCAATTTCATTAGATAAATCTATGATTTGTTAAGCCCATCATTGGTATATTATGTGATTGCAGTTCAAAGGGATAAAATAAATAATATATTACATGCATAGCTAAATTTGTCAGGCTAGTTTGGAGACCAGATAGAAATTTCAGCTTTTAAAGCGATACTTGAGGAACAAGTGAGATTACCTCCCTAAGACTGGGAAGTTCTCAGTGCCTATCTCTGCATCAGCTGTAGTTGGCATGCTTTTTAATTTGGAATAGCTATTAAAAAATAAAAACAGAAGTTTTATCTTCTCATCCTGAACGCCCAATATAACACCTGCAACATTAATTAATATTAAATGCTCACTAAATATTTGCTTCTGTGAAAGTAAATTTGGCTATATCTTCAGAATTCAATTTTAATTGGGGCACAATATGCTATTTCTTAGCTCTACTTTGCATCCTTCTAAAATTATAAGGTGTGTTAAAAATCTCCAGGTGGCAGGAGTTAGAAAACACGTGTTAATGGTACAAGAGACTGCTAATGAGGGAATCTGTATGCGTTCATATATCAGTGCTGTACCAGAGTGCTTTCTGAACAACATTTGCTTTGGACTGTCTTGTTTGCTGATTAAAATGAAACTACCTAGGCCTTGCCCAGAACTACTGAATAGGGATATCTGGGAGTAGAGCTCAGGAACCGACTGTCCTACAATTAGTTATTTGTCAGGCACATCACTAAAAATCCTAGAGAATATCTTACAAATGGAGACTCGGCTCTAAAATAGACCCAAGATATTTGGGGGGGGGGGGGGATAGGGAAAAAAAATTTTTAAACACAAAAAAAAAAAAAAAAAAAAAAAAAAAAAAAAAAAAAAAAAAAAAAAAAAAAAAAAAAAAAAAAAAAAACACAAGTTTTGGTCAGTAGTATCATTATGAAAATAGATCATTTGCTAAGACTTTTGTTACCCAATCCCCCGTATTGCCCTTTGTATATTAAATAGATGTATCATTGAGAAGTCTAGTCAATGACACAGTATTTTAATTTCCCCCAAAAATATTTAAGTGAAATAGGAACTCATCTTTGTATATATGGTGTCATTCTTAAAACTGAGAGTCTGGGACATCACGGAATTGACGCCTTTAAATACTACTTAAACACAAAATAGTAGAAAAATTTTTTAACAATTTATTTTTTTACTGTATGTGTGTTTTGTCCATGTGTGTACCTGTGTGATTCAGATTCCCTGAAACTGGAGTTAGAGTTGTGAGCTGCCATGTGGGTGCTGGGAATTGAACTCAGATCCTCCAGAAGAGCAGCCAGTACTCTTAATGGCTGATCCATCTCTCCATGCCTCAAGACAATAGAAATTTTTATTACTTCCTGGTGTGAACTTAATAATACATGCTGTACTTATTCCGTGCCTACAGATGGTACGTGCTGAAGAATTTGAATTGAATACCTAGCTGTGTCAGATACACATGTGAACTAGTGCAGTATACAAAGTATAATATGGACCCCTCTTCCCAGAAGTTATGCCAGTGACAGGCCAGAACACCTGGACTATCTTTCCATCTCAGGAGCTATTCTATTGCTGTGAAGAGATGCCGTGATCAAGGCAACTATTATAAAAGAAAGTACTTCGTGCGGGCTTGCTTACATTTTCAGAAAAACAGTCCATTGTCATCGTGGTGTGAAACAGACAGGAATGGTGTGGAGTAATAACTGAGACCTATAGCCTGCCTGGTTCATAGGTAGCCAGCAGGAGGGGGAGGGGGAGAGAGAGAGAGAGACAGAGACAGAGACAGAGACAGACAGAGAGAGAGAGAGCGCGCTAGCACACGGGGCCTAGAATGGGTTTTTGAAACCTCAAACCTCACCCTGTGATATACTCCTCCAACAAGCACACCCCTCCCGACCCTTCCCCTCCTAACCCTTCCAAACAGTTCATCAACAAGGACTTAGCATGCAAATAGCGTGAGCCTATAGGGGCCATCCTCGTTCAGACCACCACACCCTTTTAACTGTATTTGTTAAACACTATGTGCTAATAAATAAAATGTAAACTCTAGGACTCAAATGGGCTATTTAAGGAGGAGGAGAATAACATGGGAAGAAAATCCTAAATCTGAAGGTCAGGAAAGCAATGGTCTATAGTCTACCTTTAATTTGCCGAGTTCACCAAAGCCTTGAACCTTATAGCCAAAATCGGACTCTGTCAGGGACAGCAAGTTCCAGTTCATTCGTAGACAAGTATTAGCAGTTTTTATCTGCAGTTTCATGTTGAGAAGGGTTCTGAAGGCATACATAAACTCAACAGAATCAAAAGTACTGGTGATTAGTCATCTCAAGGGCAATCTCTAAATTCAATGATCTTTAAAGTAGCTTTCATCAATAATTGTCCATGAATTTTGCTTAGGAATTTATTAGACATAAAAGCATTTTTTTCTCTAATCTCCATGAGAACAATAAATGTGGAAACTTCTTAAATCTAAACACAGAAAGCAGGAGGCAGAGAAGAAGGGAGAGAGAGCGCTGAAGAGAGGAGAAAGCTTCTAGCTATGGAAGAGTCCAGAGAGTAGGGACAGACTATGTCACTTGCATTTACAGAGCACCAAAGTGTCCTGGGCAACTCAGGGTGAGCATCACGGTTGCTGCAGTAGGATAGCCTATGACGAGCTTGACTGGTCTCCGCAAGCTGTGAGTCTCTAGGCTAACAGACCGGGGAGTGAGCAGAGAACTTGTCATAAAAGAATTTGAACTTTAATTGGCCTGTTGCTACTCAGGTCACTTTTACAGAACTGGCCATTGATTAAAATGACATTGAGCGCTACAAAGTCTGAGGTATTGTGTAAGTCACCTTGTGAAGCAACCAATAAATTAAAAGGGCAAGGTCTTTCAGCAAGTTTCCAAAGACAATTAGAGTCAAGAAAATAACAACATGGCAGGAATATAATATCACAGGGATCGCCCATGACTTCGCGAATTGTTCTTCTCTTTAAAAATCAACAGACTTGGTCTTCGCAAGACTGCCTAATTTGTCTAAGATAACACAGTTAGTAGGGTACATACAAGAATCAGGTTTAAATTCAGGTCATTTTAACAGCCTGTCTTGTCCATTGCTGTGTTGTTTGTTTCTGGTAAACGTCTTAATTAATTTCCCTACTATGGCTGTGATTAGACACCCAGACCAAAGCAACTGTAGGAAGGAAAGACTTATTCAGAGTCACAGTTTCTGCCATGGTCTGATGGCAGGAGCTTGAGGTGGCTGGTCACCTTAAACCTGCTTTCAGGAGGCTGCATCAAGATGAAGATCAGGGTTTGGTCCCAGAATCCATGTAAAAAGCTGGGCACGAGAGCACGTGTTTGTAATCCCAGCACTTGCAAGGCAGAGGCAAGTAGATAACTGGTCTTGACACCATTTTACATAAAGACAAAAAGGGGTTTCTTTCTCAAAAATGGATGGTGGTTAACTGAAGTGGGAAATCCTGCCTTGTATGGGTTGGGTAGCTCCCTTCCCTACGCTGGAAATCCTGGAGTGTTGTGTGATATTTTACTCATTTGACTTTTTGGGGGGCCCACCACCCAGCTCCCAATTAAATCACACACGGAGAGGCTTATTCTTCGTTCTGAAAACATGGCCTTAGCTTGACTTGTTTCTTGTCAGCTTTTCTTAACTTAAACCATTCCAACTTCCTTTTGCTTCCGGACTTTTTCCTTTTCTTATTCTGTAATTACTCCCTGGCTGGGTTGGGTGTCTAGGGGTCTGGCCCCTGATGTCCCCGCCCCCTCTGTTCTCCTGTTGTTCCTTCGTCTCTTCCAAGATTTCTCCTATTTCTTCTCTCTGCCTGCCAGCCTCACCTATCCTTTCTCCTGCCTCACTATTGGCCGCTCAGCTCTTTATTAGCCCATCAGGTGTTTTAGACAGGGAAAGAATCACAGCTTCACAGAGTTTTAAAAAAAAAGTGCAGCATAAACAAGCACACCTTAAAATAACATTCCCCAACAAAGCGTATGAAAAAGGAAAAGTGAGCTGACTCTGGCTGCTACATATGAACACAATTACACATGAACGTACATATGCATACACACATAGCGGTAAGAGGGTAAGTTGTAAATCTCCAGTTTCCATACATTTTTAAACAAAATTCCAAGGGAAATCGTTTACTTCTGTGTAGACTTGAAGTGAGGTTTAGAAAAGTAAATCGAACTCACGCCTGACTGATTCCGAAGCGCATTATCTGTTTTCTACAGCATGTAGTAATATCTCTTTCCTCTTGAGACGTGTCACACATATGGAGGGAGAAAAATGAAGAAGCAAAATGAGTTCAGATTAGCTTTGTCAAAAACTAACTCAAGTAGAAACATAAATCTAGCGAGGGGGAACCTGGTTTTCCTCTTTGATGTACGTATTTCTGAAGTGAGCTATGGGCCGCCTACCTCTGCTACAGTAGCCTGGAAGCTAGAAATGAGGGCACAGGTGTTGGCTAACATGTCCCGTCAGTCATCAGATGCAGAGACAGTGTGGGACAATACAGAGAAGTAACTCTACACCCTCACCGCTGACCCGGAGAAGTCAGTGTTCTAGGGGAGAGGCTCAGGCCCTACAGGAAGGAAGTCACAGAACCATCACCAGGAGAACCAGAGAGCAGAGGACAAAGGAAAAGAAAAATTCTGGTTTACAAACCCAGAGGATTTGAATTGCCAGCCTTAAAGGGATTGGTGAAATTGATGGGATGTGGGGGGCAAGCAGGAGCAGGCCACCGCCAGGCAAGAAATAAAGCACAGTTGCCACACTGCAAGGGACATTTGTCAAGGGGAATAAAAGGTCTCAGAAGTGGAGAGATAGTTCTGATGACTTAAATCACCCAGGAAGCTTGTACTTTATCCTGTAGAGAAAGAAGAATCGTGGGTGTTGTGACCAAAGCCGACCTCAGTATTTTCTGAGTTTGTGCCAAGTATATCTGATTTACAGTCTTGATTATACTTGATTGTGCTCTGAAGTGTTCTAGGCAAAGATCTAAACCTGTGTGTGGTAATGTCTCGGCACCGAACATGTTGTCTACATGACTCATGCTGACTCTGGTGCACCGTGCTTACATAATGGGAAAGGAACATCCACGGAGGGCTTACGAGGCATTTACCTGTCAACTGTGAGGGCAGAAAGGAGATGGATGGCAGAAGGAGTTGGAGAAAGCTGCAGTATTCTGGGTCCGGAACTCTGAAAATTTGAACCAAAAGCAATAGAAAAGGAAATTTGGAAATAACTTCTAAAACATAATCAGAGAGGGTTATCATTTACAGATGTCTGCTCTGTGCTTCCTAATAATAGTTTGTAAGAGCAGATGCTGAGTGAGGGAGAAGGAGTGGGCAGAATGATACCACAACGGACCTGGTGACAGCAGTGTCCTTGAATCAAACTGGAGTCAGCATTGAGAAACTGTATTGATTCTTGGAACTTCTTGTGTACCCCAAGATTGCTGATAGCAGAACCAGCATTGTACCAGCTATCAAAAAAACAATTTGATGGTTCTGTTAGCAAAATGGGAATTATATTGGTTTTACCAGTGTGAGTTAGCAGAATTGGTTTTTGTCATGGCTTTTAAATAACATTTTGAGAGATGAGTTATGACTGTGTCTCCCCCATACATACACCCCTGCAAAAATAGATCCACATGGAGTCAATTTATAGATAGAGGAACCAGGTATAAAAAGCTCAAATGTCACTAAGATGGACTAGATATCCAGGTTGGGGGAGAAGTGAAAGGAAAGTCACAGGTCATACAACCTCATGGGTATGCAGGAAGGAAGGCAAGCTTTTTCCTAGAAGTTAAAAAAAAAATTAGAAAAGCCTTTCTTTGGTTGGTCATCATTGCTTTCCTCATCTATGCCCTCTAGAAGCTTCCTAACTGGTTTTCCTGGCTCTGGTCTCTCTCCTGTTCTTTCTCAGCATGCATTATAGATTAACCAGACTTACACCATTTTACAGAAGTACAAAGAAGGTCTCCAGCATCACTGGTCCAGGCTGAGTGATGTTGCTAGCTCACTCTCTTTTAGAACACAATAATCACATTTTTTCTAACCCTCAAACTCCTCTGTCCACTGAGACCTTCCCAGGTAGCACACAGATAACTATCTGATAAGGAAGTGATAATGGCTTCTCTAGGTGGCTCTCAGAGTGTTGTGTGACATTATTCCTGAGAAGATGTGCACAAATATTACTCACCGGATAGGAAAACAAAAACAGACCAAAGTGAAGGATAGCACCAAAGCCCAAGTTCAACCAATGAGTTTTATTGGAGCGACTTACAGGAGCATGGGTAAGGGTGAGAGAAAAAGGAGCAGAAATGGCTCAAAGCCAGCTACATCACTAAGAACACACTTTAGCATAAATGGCAGATTATGGAAAACTGGAACTCATGCCCAGCCTGACAGCAGCTCAACAGGTTGGGGAGTGTCTCCTCTGGTAGCTCAGTGGAATAGAATTAAGTCGTGTTCCTAATGTATTTTTCTGTATATGTCTTGTTCTGTAGATCTTGAATTTTTAAAAATTTTTACTATTGAAATAGCAAATTAATCTAAAACATTATATTCTAAATGTGATAAAACATTTAATTGAAAAATTCTATCCACTGCACACATGCATAGAAACACACGCATACATGCAGTGCATATTTTATAACATAGTTCAGTTGTGTGACTCATCTGTTCTCAACCTTAATTTTATTTCCACCCTTTTGCAATTATGCATGTTGACATTTGAATGCATTTGGTCAACTTCATCTTGAAGTAAAAAAAAATTGTGGAAAAGAATCTTAAATGTTTCAAATTTGATGGTCCTTTCATTGGCTTGATTACACTGGAGTTTTTATTCATTTGGCTTAAGTTGGCCAAATTAAAACATCATAGAGCCACTTGTTAATTGTGCTATATTCCTTTCTCATCTTATTTTTAAGCTTTTCAGTGTAACAGATATGTCTTGAAGGTACACTAAAAGCCAGGTCGTGATTCCAGGAATGAAAAGCACACAATCCTGAAACATTCTGTGCACAAGTAATAAATAGAATCTGGTAAGCACTGGGTGAGACGTGAGCACAGGCCACTGTGTGAATTCAGCCCAACAATACTAACCTCTTCTGGAGCGCTGAAGAAAGAATGGTCAGGGTGAGCACTGGGGGAACAGGAAGATGTATGAAGGAACAAAAGAATGGTAGAGGTGGAAATGACAGTGTCTAAGAGAGGACATGGCCCTGTGTGTCTACAAAAGCCACAGATTCTTGATGCTGTATCAGCACAAAAACTGGAGTGTCAAAGAGAAAGCAAAGGAGATGTTAGGAACCACATCACGGAGGGCTTTACTCTTGAAGGCCAGAGAAAGCCTGTGGAGAGTTTTGGTAGAAAGAAGATTTAACTAACATACCTGTATCAAAATGAGGAATAAAGAATCAAAAGGAGATAACGTTATATAGACCAGGAATCCATTCCCGATGCCTGACCTAGGGCCACAGAAGGCTATAATAAAAATAACGACAAAATATATACTCATTGGTTAGAGGCAGTAAAGTAGCCAGCAGTGCCCCCAGAATTAGCTAAGGCTTTTATTAAGAAGGAAGATGCCTAGACTCAAGTCTGGAGATGGGTCCATAGAATCACATTCTCTGGGGATGCTGGGTCAATGCTGGGCTATGTAACTACTGGTAGGAAACAATAGAAAACTCTTGTCTATAGTTAGTATGCTAGAAAACCACTGCATTCTAGTTGGTGTGCCCATTATGCTGAGCATCTGTTAGCTGCCTTTTTAAAGAGTATTCATTTTCTTTTTCACCGCAGAAGATCAGGCACAAGGCCACGCTCATAAGAAAGATCTTTACTACTGGATTCCACTCCTTGCCCTTCTACTAATTGTTTGTTTGTTTGGTACTTAACAGCAATTCTGTGAGTTAAACACAGTTAATGTGCCAGTTTCACAGATGAGAAAGCTGAACTTTCGGAAGAAGACAGAAGTCACCAAGCTCATAATGCCAGCAGGGAGCATAGCAAGGCCTCACACAATAACATGCTTCTTATGAGAGAGAAAATAATTACATTCTTAAGTGTGGACTCATTCTACCCAATCAATTAGTGATGCCAAAACTAACATGATATAAATAGAAGTGTAGTTTGTGGTTATATGAATAGCAAGTGTAGTTTCAGCAGCTGAGAGCATGAGCCATTGTTAAATTTCCTTTCTGCTACTAATTCACAATATGAAGAATTATTCAGAAAACTCGGCTCAAATCCAATTCTACTTTAGGTGGTTATTCATGTGTAAATTCTGATTCACTGAGGGGTTTCCTTTAACCTGACTTGTGGCAGAAGGCCTGGAGTCATCCTCTGGGCTTTGAGGGTTTCCCTCTCCCAAAGCTTTAAGCATCTGAGAGCTGAGACACTGGTTGTGTGTGTGTGTGTGTGTGTGTGTGTGTGTGTGTGTGAGAGAGAGAGAGAGAGAGAGAGAGAGAGAGAGAGAGAGAGAGAGAGAGAGAGACTGTCTAGTCTTACAGCTCCCTCATCACGGTAATTACAGAGTGACCACAAGAAAAAATAGCACAGATCGCCCATGTATTACATTTTTAATTTATTTATTGTGTAGTGTGCATGCTATGGACATACTCGTAGTGTCAGAGGACAGCGTTAGGGGTCATGCCTCTCCTTCCACCATGTGGACGGGTGGCGGAGATCAAATTCAGATCTCCCATTTTGGCAGCAGGCATCTCAACACTCTGCCCCATGCCACAAGCCTAAGTCCTGCCTGCTTTGTAGTTCATTGTGTTGGTTTTGTTTTTAAACTGTGCCTGTTTTATGCTGGTAGAGAGTGTGTAATATCTGAAAAGTGTTTCAAGGATAGCTTCCTCCAGTATTTCCCTAAAAAGGGGGAAGGGATATCTATTGACCATGGTTGGGGGAATCTTTTATTGGGCTATTCTAGTATACCAATAGTTACTGAATGAAGTAATGCAGCGGCTAGGGGCCTAGCTCAGTTAATAAGAGCATCTACTCTGAACAAGGACCTTTGAATCCCCAGCACCCACAGAAAAAGCCAAGTGTGCCTATAATCCCCGGGATTTGGGGAAGAATACAGTTAGATACCAGGACCTCACTGGCCAGCTAGTCTACTCCACAATGCAAACTTGTGGTTCAATGGGACTCCCTATCTCAAGGTGGTAATTCAGAGAGCAATAGAGGAGCACACCCAATGTTCTGCTCTCGCCTCCACCTGGGCAAATAGACATGTCCAATATACTCCTGTGTGTGCACCATACACACAGTTAACCGGTCAACTCATGTAAGATAAAGAATGCTGTTTGGGAGAAAAGTCAGGTATACCTGACAGGCACGGTACATATACGTTTTACCGGCATAAAATGTATTTCATCCACCACCTATGAATGGAGACCTGACCAATTTATTGTTACCTTTAGAGAGGTGTTCTCTTGATCTGTATGGAATTACCTTTCACTAAGTAACTTTTGAAGTTTCTCTCTATGCAAAATACTGCTCTGGTCATTGACGGTGATGACCTCTGCCATCTAAGAACCTCCCTGAAAGGACATGGATGCCACTGTGGTACAAGGTGAAAAGTGTGTCCTCAGACATGAGAATCTTAGTGGGGAGAGCCTCTGGGGGAGAGCAATTAAGAAAGTGTTCCAAAGAAGTAACAGTTTAGCTGAGTCAATGAGAACTGAGCAAGATTTCAACAGCTGTAGAGGTGGTGTGTTTTCACATCTGGCAAACAGCAGAAGCAAAGGAGTGTTATCCACCAGGATAACAATGAAGAGAGAATGACTTGGCAGGACCCACACTAGAAATTAAAGTTGTGTGTTGAAGGCCAAACCTCAGACAGGTAAGTGCCAACCAAAGTCGCTGGTGGGCTTAGGGTTTTATTGCTGTAAAAAAACACCATGACCAGAACAACTCTTAAAAAGAGAAACATTTCATCGGGGCTGGCTTACAGTTCAGAGGTCCATTGTCGTCATGACAGGAAGCATGGTGACGTGTAGGCAGACAGTGATGGAGAGGGAGCCAAGAGTTCTACATATGGATTAGCAGCCAACACAGAGAGAAAGGGCCTGGCTTGAGCATTTGAAACCTCAAAGTCCACCTCCAGTGACAGTTTTCCTCCAACAGGGCCACACCTCCTAATAGTGCCACTCCCTATGAGTCTATGGAGGCCATTTTCATTCAGAACACCGTGCTGCTGTTAGGTAATGCTATGCACTGTTATCACCTCATACATGATACTAACCACTGAATGCCAACCCAACACAAACCTTTTACAAAATGAACTTAAGACATTGAAACCAGTGTTTGACTAGCAACATGGTTGTGATAAATCTATTTTTTTCCTCCAGGGCTAAGAAATTCAACCTGGATACTAAAAAATCAAACCTTCAAAAAAAAAAGTTCGTTACCCATTTCATAAACGAGAAGGCAGGTTTGGAGGAATGAATGGCCTATCTACAGTTACACAGCCAGGTGCTGCTCTTTAGAGGCCTATGAATATTTATTTTATCATGTTATTTACATACAGTAGCTTTTAGGCCCAGTACTATTCTAGGTCAGAATACTTTGCATCTGGTCTTGGCAAACATCAAATGATCTGGGGAAAGGTTAGGTTTCCTTTGAAGCCGCCACTCTCAACATGTAACCAGCTGCTCTTGGGCAGTCAGCAAGCCTAGTCCTGGGGCCCCAGCTGTCCCATCAGTCAGGTGACCTGAGACATTCCCATTACTTGTGCCTAAAATGCAATGTGTAAAAGAATAAATTTGCTTTTTTGAAGGTGAGCTCTACTAACCTACAGAGCCATAATATAAAGTCAAATCAAAACTGTCTTGTACAACTTACCCTTAACTTCCTAGCTATATGCTTACTGATCATAATTCTATAAGCCCCACAGAGCTGTCAAGAGCTAAGACACCAAACTCATAAGCGCATCTTGTGACTGATCCTCTTCTGTGTTCTTGAAATTCCCCCATGGAGAGAAAAGCAGAAATAACTATGTTTCTGTTCAACCGGGGCAATTAGTGTACACAAGGAGCAATAGGGAAGCTATGGGGAGCAGCCCCTTTGTGAGCTATGAGAATTACATTTTCCATCATTGACAGAGTTGGGAGCTTAGGATGGCAGTCACTGGTTGCTGTCCAGCTAATCACACGCCTGGTCAGTGTAAGCCACAGCCCTCGGGAGGGAAAAGAAGCAAGAGGGGGCCACCTGCCTTTGTAAAGATTTTTTTCTCCTATTCTTTGAACTGATCATTGCGCTTTGGGGGGCGGGGGTAGAAAAGGTTTTTCTTGGAAGGAAGGTTCCCTAAGGTGAACTATTCCCCTCTGTAACTGGCTTGTTCTCAGTTTCCACCAAGAATTAACACTAATGATGGCGGGGCATTAGCTCAACATGTGTACAAACCCAGTCCCTCTTCATTCGTTGATTGCCTCCCTGCTGGCCAGCCTGCGGTAGCGAGAAGCGAGAGTAAGCTCAGTTGTGCTTAGAAAAACATACAGAGCTATGGTTGCTACTAAGATAATTCCTTTGCTAAAAGAAAAGTGCTCCCCCCTCAGTGACCCCCAAGTCTAAGCAAACTATTTTCCTCTTCTCAGTACTAGAAACAAGGTCCACATTTGACAAAGAATTCCAACCTGATCGGTATTCCTGAAATGTAATAAGAATACAACTGATATTTATCAAAGATGACTTATAAGGCAAGCATTTTGGTAAGAATAAGGATTTTTCTTTTTAAATTCTCACAACCATCAGTAAAGATTCAGTCTCTAAAGAAAACCATCTTTCTGGATGGTCCCTCTCCCTGCAGTATTAACTGTGTCTTGTGATATCAGCCAAACACATGTAAATTTCAGTATAAATACCAAAGCGCTTAGAGCTCTTATCTATAAATTTAAAGTCAGTTCATATATTAGATGTATGCATCATTTGAATGCCATGACAAAATTCAAAATCATTTGTAACTTGTGATATTTAGAAGACTAGGTTTTCTTCATGTATCTTTGTTGGGGTTGCTGTGTCTATGGCTGGGATTGGACCTGGGATTGGTAGGGAGGGCCTGGTTCTCTCACACATGCTTCTCTAAGGTGACTGTATACACAACATAAGGTATACTCACCACATATCTTTGCCCCTGCAAGGGTCACTGCTGGGTCTTCTGGTCACTTACAAAGCTCATAGGACAGAGCCTGGCAGACTGCTGTCAAGGGAGGAATTTAGAGACTCAGGTCATCAGACTTCAGGCTCATCTGTGGCTGCTTGCCCTGCGTGTGATTCAGTCCCTAAAGTCACCTTTGATGTTCTGGCTTCTGTGCAATGCTCCGCTGTGTTCTCTAAACTCCACCAGCAAGTGTCTGCTGAGAACAGCACTTCAGTGCAGCCCCACCCACTCTGACCTTCCTATTTTAAATTTTCAGAGGGTGGAGAACCCAGAAATAAGCTCTCACCCATTTACCTTTAATCTCATTCCTGTTCCTTAGAGCTTTGTGTCACATCACAGTAAGCAGTCAGTGTGCCCAGACTTTGAGTAGATTGTGCAACCCTTCTTTCAGCTGCAGAATTCTTCTCCAAGGCTTAAACTCCAAATACTCCAAGATACGATAAAAGGATAGTTTCTGAACTGTGTGTGTGCGATTCTGTAGAAAAACAGAGAGAGACCCTTACCTATTGCTTTTCTCTTCAACAGAAGCAAATGTGTACCATGCCATTTGTAACTGATGGCATCTTAAGACTCTCCCATCATTCTTCTGGGCTCTACCTCCCCCCCCCCATACAGCTGTTCACCATTCCTCCTTCACTGGGATGGGGGAAGGATGGAGAAAAGGGGTACCTTTGCACACCATCATTAGAAGGCCGTTCTTTCAGACATAGGTCTAGCCAGTTCTCTATGTGACAGTCCCCAGTCATTCACCGAGTCTCACCTAAAACATGCTTCTGAGTTTTTTCTCACCCTCCATTTGCGCCCTTACTATCTTTGTATCTTCATCTGAGCAATTACTTCATCACTTTGTGTTCTCAGTATCTACTGCAGCAATCTTGGTGTATATTAATGAACAAAGTAATAGGTTTAGTTGTGACATGTCTATAAAGGCATGTGTGCTCCAATCGTATGCGCCCCCTGCAATGACACTGCCCTCGTCTTCCTCCACCCCCTTCCTTCTACATCCTTAAAAGTCTCCTTTTTAATGTCTATGTCCTTCATTTGTTCTAACTTCAACATACGCTAGAAAGCAGCTCCATCCCATTCAGCAATAGTTAGCTTAATGAAGGGTGAGTTGTTATACTCTTTCTTCCCTTCAGTTTCTAGTTTCGCTATGCAGTCCTTTCAGTGGGAAGCCTGTCTATGGGATCTGGCGAGTCAATGGAACAGTTATCGCTCATTGAGTGTGCATCATGTCAGAGCCCTGCATGTATGACTACATTTCCGGTTCCATCAACTGTCCTTTATGTGATACAATTTCTTTGTTATTGCTCACTAAAACTCCATAGGACATATGCACCACATTTTCGTCATTCGTTCAAGTGAAGTTGTTTCTCTGAGTATGTGAAGTCTTCATTCCTTGATCTGAGACTTGAGAATAAGAAGAGAACCGTTGTGTTGTGTATTAGTACTGTCGCCCAGGCGTGTGCGCTCAGTACTTTGTGAATGTTTCCCCACAGGTGGGTTGCAATTGATGTGTGACTACTGTGTCCAAACAAGGTACAGAACTCTCTTTCCAAGCGGAAAGTGCATTGAGCAAAATTATAGTGTGTTTGTGGTCTCTGGCTTTTAAAGTGACATTTGATTTACAGGGACAAACTCACCCGATATCTGGTACAGAAATGAGAATAAGCATGTCAGGCTTTGAGGCAAGCATGAACAGGACTGGTTATATGGTCTCAGAAGGTGGTCTGGAGCTGCCAAGGGTGTTTGATTCTCTTGACGTGTACACACGTTTTCCTTGCTTTTTCCCCCTACCGTCGAAAAATGGTAGAAAACTCCGAATCATTTTTTTTGCCTTCTACTCTTTAAAGTTGATCAACCAATTTTGATTTTTCTATCTTTAAGAAAAGCATGGCGTGCAGAGAAGCCCTTAACCTCTCAGATGATCCCCTCCTGACAGGGATGAGAAAATGCATAGATGATGTGCCTAAAAGGAAATGTTCAGACGGAAGAGCCTAAGGCAGAACCCAACGCTGTGTGTTCCCCTCCCACCAAACTCAATTCTTAGTAGCAGTCCCAATCCCCGTGACTCTTTCTGTCCCCTGCCAGAGCTGCTGGCTAAGAGCCAGAAGTCTCAGCTGCAGGATGAATCCACCTCTTCTGTAAATTCCCCTCCCTTTTGCTCAAGCAGAAAACAAGAATTATTCAAATGAGGTTATCCAGCCGGGCCCTGCATTGTTAGAAAAGGCACCTTAACTATTGTGCTCTGCTTACTGGCTTACCTCCAGTCACTCCCGGGTCACCCGTGCTGCATAGCTGCCTCCCGTGCTCTGATCTGGAGGTAAAATCAAAGGGTGGGACATGAAGAACAACTGTCAACTCCCGAAACAGAGGCATCATCCATCCAGACAGTGAAGAGGAGTGCCTTCCTCCCCGGCTGCAGGAAGGAGGGAGAGGAAGCAGAAGCAGGAGAAAGGGGGAGCGATGGAGAGGCAGGAAGAAATATCTTCACAGTGAGGATTTTTAATGCTATAAAAGAGGTCATCTCGCTAATTTTCTGTAGACATGGAGGAAACAAAAGCTGGGAAGAGGAAGTGACTTTCATAAGCTTTTCTAGTCAGGACGGTGACAGCCCAGACTAGGGCTAGACATCTTTCCTTGAAGCAGCCACAGCATCTATAACCCCATGGACACTGCACACACAGACATTTAAGAAAGAACATGCTTATTTCCCCTTAAGTATTTAATTTGCTGATTCTCAGATTCCAGATCATAGGGATCAGAGAACTCCCTCAAGTGCCAAGGCATTTGGAGAATACTGAGTCATTTGACTCGGAACATGGTTTCTGAATTTGAGAATGGTAAATTCTGCTACCTTCTCTGGCCAGTGGGACGCTGACAGCTAATGCAGGCTTAGCCTTTTAGACACTGACAAGAAGCTTTAGTTATAACAAATGACAGTAGAGTACAGAAGACAAATGAAAATAATTTAACAGAGAAATCAAAAATTAGTGTGGCTAAGAGCACACTATAGCTTATAACTTTGGCTCCAGGGGCTTCTACACCTCTTCTGGCCTGTGTGGGCACCTACACATGTGGGCATATACCCATATACAGGTAAACACACACACAACTTAAAATTAAATAAATCCTTTAAAGTACAATAAATAGCAGTGTGACCAACATCTGCCATAAGCTCTGTTTTTAAATCTAACATGGGAATTTAAGAAAGAAGACCAATGTTCCTTGTTTCCCATTGATGAGACGCTCTTGAAAAAGAACACAGTAAGTAACAGAAAGTTTTGAGTTTTTGCTTTCAAATCCTATGAGTTGTTGGATCCATCATATTATTGGGAAATAGGATAATAAAATGTTGAATCACCATAGAATTGTAAAGCAACCAATTGGAGTCACAGAAGTTGGCAGTTTCCTCTGGGAAGTGATCTACAAATTTCCCAAGCAATGACACATCAGGACACTTCTCTAGTTTTATTATTAGTTCCAATTATGAATATTTAAATGAAGACCAAACTAGTAAGGACTCAGGGGAAGGCTTGTCACATTTTTAAGAATAATGAATTGTAAGTGTATTAATAATTTATAAATTGATTTATAAACCAAATTAGTAAATGATCACATCCTGATAACTGTACAAAAGTCCCATCAGCTCTGGCAAACTAAAGAAAATTCAGTTATATTTCTCCCCAAAATTATAGCTACAACCCTGTAACCACATGAGGTGTGAAGTCCCGAGGCAGAGGGACTGTCAGGAACTTAGATGTGATAGACAGCCCGGTGTGCAAGCACTGGCTGTGGTGTCTCTTCCCAAGTCTAAGGCCGCATCCACCTCCCGTTCTCACACACATTCAATTGAGCTTGCCAGAGCAAGCTGTCTGTAATGATGGCATCCTCCCTCTCACCGCCAGAAAAAAGGGGGGGAGGGGGGAAGGAAGGGATGGAGAGAAAGAAGAGAGGAAGGGAGAGAGGGAGGAAGAAAGAAGAGAAAGAGAAAATCAGAATTCAGCATGGCTGGAGAGATGGGTGAGCTGTTACGAGTTCTTGCTGCTCTTGAAGAGCGCATGGGTTTCCAGGACCCAAGACAGGCAGGCAAGTCACGACTCCAACTCCAGGAGATCTGATCCCCTCTTATACCTCCTTAGGCACCAGCACTTACACATTCAAGCACGCATGCATGCACACACGCACACCTCATCTAAATATATATATATATATATATATATATATATTAATTTTGAGAGAAAATTTGAGTCATATCAAGAATGTGCCCATGTTGGAACAAAGCTCCCTCTATTGGTTAGAGAAATGTTGCTTGAGTTCACTTTGTGTAGGATTTGATGTCCTCAATTGCAAATATAGTTTTTCACATAATTCACTATCTCCTACCCTAAGATTTTAAAGATAGTAAAAGTTTAAGGTTTTCTAAGAAATATTTGGCTTTGGAAAAGTTAGCTTCCAAACAGATAATTGGGTGGTGAAATGCAAGGCCTCCCCCGTCGTCTAGTGTGCCAGGATTCTTTCATCAGGTGTCGGCATAACATCTGCCCTTCACTCACAGGCTCAGGCTTCCCTTCCCAAACTCCTCACTTTGTAATAAGATAATTAGGAGAGCATGGGGTGCCAAATTACAATTGTCTGTCATAAACACCTTCCATTATAGTAAGCTAATTAGGAGAACATGGGGGTGTTGAGAAAAAAATAATCAGGATCCATCATTGGACCAACTACAAATTGAGAGTCTGACTAAGTGGTTAAAGGGGGAGTGTCAATTAGTATCAATCACGTGAAAGTTTTCTGGCCATGTGTCGTTCGTTAAAACAATCCATGTTTAATTCAAGAATCCAACTTCTAGGGATCACTTCTAAGAAAATAATCTAGAACGTAGTAAATGTTGCCTTCGTTACAATACAGAGCCTTAAAAATAGAAACAGTATAGTGTCTGAGAGCATAGGAATGTGTAAGCTAGCGGAGGTATATTAGCTGGGTGAAATATTACCTTGAGACATGCTTGCTTGCAGTCATCTCTGTTTGCAAGATTCCTGCCTACTTTTGGCATTGGCGACATACTGGCCTTGGAGTGTTTGAGAATAGTTTCTCTCCTAAAACTGAGAAAACTTACATTAGCATACATTCTTTTTAGAGTTATTTCAGTCAGTAGAATCAAACGTCAGAGCCATTTGGTGTGAGTCATTTTAATTACGAATTCAACTTCCTAGTTGTTACTGGTGTGTTTGGCACCTCTGAGTTTTGTTAGGCCATGTCTTCCTAGAATTGGCCTAGTTTGCCTATGTTGTCTACATGGTGTACATCTTTAAATTTTCCGTGGGGTCTGTAAAATTCTTTTTTAAAGATAGTTTGCATTGTTGAATTCTAAATCCCTTCCATTAATTCATTAAAATGGACACTTACAGACACTTTGTAAAGACGTGGGGTTGTTGGCTCTGCATTACTGACCTTACACGATGCCACTTTTTCTACATGGTCGCGTTTAAGTACCTACAACTGAGGCTTAGAAACTAAACATCCCTAGGGTCATACATGTCACAATAGTCAGTAAAAATCAAGATTTAAAATTACATTGCCAGTATAATTAAATTGAAAATAGTATAGTTTTTAGAAAATAAACACTAAAAGAGGTTTGCTTTTCACTGGTAACAGATGTTATTTCTTTTGAACTCTCTCTTAGGACGTTTCCCTCTTAGAAGGACATCTCCCTCTTAGAAGGACATTTCTTGTTGTGGCAGAAAAGGTGTCCTTGGGCTGCTGCCCACGTTAAAGTGTATGCACGTATACATGTATACATGTCTAGTGCACACAGAGGTCAAAGCAAAATCGTAGCGGTCCTCCTTCAGGTGCCAGCTACCTTGTGTCTTTAGACTGGTTGAACCACTGGCCTGAAACAGTTGTTAGGCTGACTGCAGTGAGACCCATGAGTCTGCTGTGAGACCCATGAGTCTGCTAATCTCTATACCCTCAACACAGAGATTATAAGCATGTGCCCCATATACCCAGGTTTATTACACACACCCCAGGATTAAAGGGGTTGAACTTAGTTCTTGTGCTTGTAAGGCAAACCCTTGGCAGACCGAGCATCTCCCCAGTAGCAGAAGAGGTGTTTTTGAACAAACTGTGCTTTTAATTGAGGCAGACGATAAACTTGGGAGAGAAAGTATAAAAAGATAAATTAAATGGTACCTTTTATTGACATTATGCATGCTATTAAATTCTTATAACGTTTCCAAAATCGAGTCATAGATAGAGCTGAAAATGTGAGACAAGCAGATAACTACGCCATCTCTTTTTATCAACAGTAATAAAAGGCATCTAGGAATAAATCAGATCACCGAGTATAAAAATTGTAAGATAAAATACATGGGCAAAGCAAGACTAGGACATGCTCACTGGAGAGCAATGCAGCCAACAGAAAGAAGACGCCGTAGGGTGCCTCTCCCTGCTCTGGTACTGCCTCTTGTCTACTGAGACTCTCAACCGTGTTGTTTTGCTTTGCCTTTCCCAAATCTCTCCCCCATGCTTCTGAGGGGAGCCGTCCCTCAACGCTGCAGTTTGCTTTCAGTCAGTAAAGCCTAGATGTCCACCGTGCTTTGAATCTAAAAGACATGGAAATAAAAGTGCTGTGGGACCCGCTTTTTGTCATATCCAGAGGCTGACGGTGCTGGATTGGGCACTCTCCGGAATACTTTCCGTCATCACTTAGAATGCTCATTTTGTGTATTCCTGCCTGGACTGGAGAGCCTCTGTTGAAAATAACCTTAAGTGTCACTTGGTACTTAGATACTTTTGCCTTGTACCATGTGTATGTGTGTGCATGCATGTGTGTGCACACACACATTGTCTTTACATTTCACTACAGATAAAACTCGGGGTCATACACGCTAGGCAAGCCATCTACTATTAAGCTACATCCCTAGCCATCTTTTTTGTACTTTGGAGGCTCAGAAACTATAAGACGATGTATAACGGACTTCTCTGGTCACCTATGATCTTAGGATCATATTCATTCTGCTGCGCGTGATTATCTGTGTCTTCTCCAAGACTTCTGAACTTTTTATTTTCCTATTATTTATTTCCTATACCTTTGATTACATTTTTCCCTCTAGAATTCCAAAAGCATATTCATTCATTCATTTGGTGAGGTCCCAAAGATCTTAAATGTGTTTTCTTGTGTGTGTGCCTGGAATATTTCCACAGACCTGTTTTTATGTAAATTTTTTTCTTCCTTTATACCTAATCTGTTCTTTAGTCTCTCAACTATACTTTTATTTGGGCCTATTGAGATCCTCATTTCTAAGGTTTCTACTTTTCTCATAAACATTTTTCTATTGCTCTTCAGAATTTTTCATTTAGAACATGCACCATTTTTCTAATTCCATTCAATTGTTTATATGTACTTTCTTAGATCTCATTAAGGATTTTTTTTAGCCTTTTCCTTTAAATTCTGTTTTAATTCCTTTTAATCAGTGCTGCTGGAGCGATGTCTCAGTTGTTAGGGGTCCTTATTATTGTTCCAGAAATCACAGTTCAGGTGCCAGTACCCATACTGAACAGCTCACAACTGCCTATAACTCTAGCTTCAAAGCCCCAGTGTCCTGTTCTGGCCTCTGTAGGTACCTACACACATGACATATACTCACATAAAAACAGAAACACAGTTGACTGTGGCAACGCCTGTCCCCCACATGCCTGCAGTTATTCGTGTGTTCATTCCTACAGCATATACAAATGGTTTCAGTACTGTTATACTTGTGATTATACTGTTATTAACCTGCCAAGAAAATGCCTATGTTCCTTTACAGTTCTGCCTTTAGACGTATGGAGCGCTATGGTCCACTCACGTATTTGGATGCAATTCAGGGCATCGAACCATTCCTTAATTCGGTATGGCCTGACCGCATGTCATTGTCACACATAAAGATAGTTACTGGGTTATCAGACAACTTTGAGGAGGCTGTTCTCTCTTTCCACCTTTGTGTGGGATCTGGGGGTCAAAGTCAGGTCGATAAGCATGTAACGTCTTGTGGCAAGTGCATTTTCCTCCATTGGGCAATCTGGCCACCGTTCCTCCTCCTGTGTTTCTTCTTCCTCTTCCTCCTCCACTCATATTGCACCACAAATGTCATAAATGGTGTTTTTGTTGTTGTGTTGTAATTCGTTTGAACCAGAATGCAAATGAACTCTGTGTGGTAATTTTTTGATGTGACTTTCCCTTTAAGTATTTTGTTTGCGCTGGTTGGCTGATGCGATATTTATGCTAAAGAAGCCAGGTGATTTGTCTTACAGAGTTTGCCAAACTTCAGGTTCTGATTGTTGTATCTTTATAAAGAAATCAAAGAAACATGGAAAATCCAATCTTATTTGGCGACTGATCATGAAATCTACAGGTCTGAATATACTCGGGTTCATCTGGAGCTTTGTTTTAGCAGAACTTCCCAAGGCTCCTTTGGAAGTGATATTTTCTTCTCCTGTCAGGAGGCTCGGGACTTTTATGCTTCCAATTCTTGATCTAAGATGAAATACTTGATCTTTGATCTAATCCTTCTTGGTCACAATATTACTTATTCTTTACCATATTTTGTTTTACAGTTCTGTTTCTGCATGAAAATGAGCTATCTATAGGAATAGAAAGCAATGTCTAAATAGCTTTTCCAGGTGAACAGAGCTATGGGAAAACAAGTGTTTTATTTTTTAATTTATTCTTCTCCCATGCAATATATCCTGACATCTTCCTCTCTCTCCACACTTCCCAGTCCCTCCCCACCACCTTCCCTCTCTCCTGCATCCGTTGCTGCCCTAGAAACAAGTATTTCTAAAAATTAAGAAGAGCCACAGCAAAAGCATATTTGAGCCATGTACTAGTTTAAATTCTACCAGAGGTCACCATTATCTACAAAGGTGACATGATGGAGCTATAGAAACTGAGGAACTAGTATGTGAAAAAAAACCAGAAACAGGCCTCTTGTTCTATAGTTTTCTGGATATGAGGGGTAAACAGATGCCATTTGTTTTTAGGAACATGGAATTTTAGTGGGTGAAGAGGGGATTTGAGCTTCTCGTATGCCAGATTACCAAAGCATTCTATGGTGGGGTCAGCCCAGGAAGTTTCATACTGTTTGACCTGCAAATCAGGGGACTCCTGCGTCCCGCTGATGAGATGCTGACTCTTGACATGAGTGTTGCAATGTCTGTCACAACATGAAAGATATTCACTTAAACTGCGACAGGGCAGAATCTGGTCAACAGAAACACACCTAGATTTCTACACGCTAAGTACGATGGCCATCCAGTTAAAGACATAACATATTTACACCAAGATGAATGAGAAGCAGAGAGACCTGATAGGGTTGTTTCCTATCAGCCCATGGCATGGGGTGTGGAAGGATTCCTCTTTTAAATAGCCTTCTTGAAATACAGTTTACATTAGTGACATGACCTTAAAATACACAACTCCGTGTTCCCCGGTATCTTCATAGGGTACATTACCATCAACCACAGTCTCATTTCCAGCCACCCTACAATAAGTCCATACCCATCAAGCTGTCACTTCCCGCTCTCCATGCCTCATTACCTACACTGTATACAACCACCTAGTCGTGTCTCTGTTAACTAGCCACTTCTATGCAGATTTTTAGATCGCTATGACTAATGTGTCTCGTTGAAATTCCCTTTATTTTTTACAGTATCATATGAACAAGAGTGGCTTTGAGCCCTCAACTACGTGAATTGCTACCTAAGAAAGACGTAGCAATAATAGCCAAAGGAGATACAATCGAAACCAATAACTTGATGTGGCCTAGTAACCAATCACCGGGCGTGACTGTCCAGGAATGGCAGAATATGTGGTGTGACTTACAAACTCAGTTGCTTATAATTTTAAATATTAACTGGAAGGAGGCGTGGCTTTCAGGAATTTGTACTCACAGAACTACATTTGCAGCCGATTCAATTCCCGACTCCACAGCTCACAATCTGAGCAACTCAGGATACAAACAGAGTGATGAGGCCAGCTTCATTGAAACTAGCCTGTAGGCCACACACGTGATGCCTTAGAATTAAGCTTGGTCATTCAGTGGTCAATAAATGCAAATTTTGCTTGCTCAAATTCTCAAGTAGAATTCTTTCCCACGCCAGCTTACCCCACTCCACAGTATTTGGTGTTTCCAAAATCTCTATTCAAAGACATTTTCTCCTTGAAGACAATTTCATGGGGCCTGCAAATGCTCTAATGTAGACAAACAGCCCTGAACAAGCCCAGTGAAGACCAGAGCTGTGAACCAGCCTTTACAGAGCCATGTATTACATAAATAGCAAAAGTGCTGACTTATTCTGTTCACCCAGCACTCATGTAGCAGAATTTCCTCTTCTATATTAAAAGGAAAAATTACAGTGCTGATAAAGCATCTATTATGGAACTCTACATGCCTAGCCTCATAAACTACATATCATCCTTTGTAAGTCAGAATGTTGACATTAGCTAATATTAATGTTAATTCAGTAAGCCCCTACACGTAAAACATTGAATCTGCGTGTACTGAAATGGTGGTTTGACTTTGTGGCCATGAATGGGGTCCAGTGCCTTCCAAGTCATGCAGGAAGGAAGCAAAGGGCATTTGCTTGTAATACTGTCATAGAACTTTACTTATGGGGTGTCAAAAGGTGTGCTGTTCAGTACGATTATGTCCAATCAGAGAACTCATGATACACAACATTTTCATACTTGGGAAATGTTAACACATTACATTCCTTGCTTTGAAACATGAAAGAATTAATCAGAGACAACACCCTTTCATTTTCCTTTGACCAGTGAGACAACGTAAACAATGTGGTTTGCATGCAACACCATTTAGGGTCCTAGAAGCCTCTGCATTATCCATCTGCGTGTATTTGTGTCTTTAACTCCCCTCCCCCCAGCTTTCTTCCTCTTGGCATAATTTTGTATTTGCATGAGATTTCATAATTGTTTTGCATGAAAGTCATCTGTAACGTTAAAGAGTAGTGTCTTAACACCCCCTGCAATATCACAGGCCATTAATTCTTACATGGTATTTTTCTTTTACTTTCAGTTACTGGAGTTTAAATATGCTTGGAATGTAAAAGTGGCAGGACGCTGGAGTGACGCAAGCCTGTGTAATGTTCCTTTACGGAACTCGAGGGACACTTCCCAGCCTTATCTTTGGCTGCCAGTTCTCAATTACGAGGTTATGATAAAACTCTATTAAACGCAGGTGCTCTCTGCAGACCTAAGTTCCAAGAAAGTCCTGTTTTAAGTATGACATATAAAAACCTGTCCTGATCTGTCATAAAATTTATCTGCTCTGACTTTGGTGAAAAACCTTTCCACACTTCAGTGTTTCTTGAACGTTATTCCTGTTGATTCAGGGGTACGAAACAAATGCCTTCTTTGCACCTTTTTTTTTTTTTGGTAGAGCTTCTAATTAATATGGGAACATGACTAAGTGCCATGAATGGGACAAAACGCTCGCCTCTCAACCAACGAGTACTGATTTCCTCCGAGCTCTCACCCCTCTGGCTCCACAGTTCTTCCTGCCAGTGGCCAGTGCTAACCCTGGGCTAGGAGACTCCTTTTCATATTACCATTGGGAATTCAATTCAAAACCTGTGCAAATAAGAAACCCTGGTCCCTGGAGATGATTTTCTAGTGTTTTTAAGCAGCTAAAAGATTCAAATCAGTTTTTCAAGTGTTGATGATCATAAGGCTGGCGAGACATTTTTGAAGCATGACAGAGTATGAAATTAATAGAACTTGAATGGTCCCATGTCACCAAGAACAACCCACAAAGCATTTATGTAGCAACAGCCACCATGCAATAAATTGAATTGTCTTTTGCATTTTTAAAATTATATTATATTATATATATTTTACTTTTAATCGAGCCCCATTTGAACGAATAGGTAGCTTGTACTTTAAATTGTATTTATCCTCATTTTTTTCCCTTTACCAAAATGTAGATGGGTGACTGTCACTTTCTCCCGTGCTTGGGCAATTACCAAGTGAATACCACATTAGCAGCCTCTGAGCCCGGCTCTTGGGGCTATCACCAGCTAAATCTGTGTTACCTGCATTGGACTCAACCTCTGCTTCTCGAGCTAGTCACTAACGAGGGTGTGAAGCTAAATTACCTTCTGAATTAAAATGCTACACTATAATTATTATGTATCATAAATCCACTCACTTCCTTGTGCAGCTTTAATTAAATCCAAGCTGAACTAATATGAATTCAATTTTAAGACAGCAAGATAATGAGGGGGAAAAACGACTTTGTTCATAGTCATTTTGTACCCAACAGTAATAACATGAGAACTGTATGGCATTCCGGGCAGGTATCGCCTCATGTGGTCTCAGCACCTAAGAGGTGTGTTGATTTGAGATGAAGATTCAAACGTTCAGAGACGGGCAAGCTGTAGAACCAGGATAGTCTGTCTCTCCCCTTGAGACATCCCCTCTGCCACCATTTATCTGGAAGGGTGTTCTGACTGTAAAGCCATTTTCCCAAGGCGCCATTAACAAGAGCTGGTCCTGCTTGGAAATGGAGTCTGCCTTTCGCCCCCTCTGGCACCTCCGTTGCCTGTCCGCTTGCTTCACTACAGCTCCCTGCGCTTTTACAAACTAGTTGTTCTGTCAGCATGAGTGTGACAACAATTAGACGTCCCCTGTTTTTGCCCCATGCCTTTTCTCCTTCACAGTCATTCAATGACAGGCGTAAAAAGAGCTTCATCTTTTCACGAAAATTCCCATTCTACAAGAACAAGGAGCAGAGTGAGCAGGAAACCAGTGATCCTGAACGTAAGTAGATTCTGAAGATAATGTCACATGCAACACTCATGACAGGCTGTCCCACGACACACCAAGGCAAACAACACGGCAGGCAGGCAGGGCAGGTTTTACTACTGTGACCGGTGTTTGACTGCAGTCTGGATCCTTCCCTTCCTGGGGCTGTTTTGCAGACAATGCTAGAATGGGTCTTGACAAAGCTGGGGCTTCAGGTCCAACCAGCATCTCTCTGTGACCAGGAGTAGACTGGGTTTGATCCTGCAAGTCCCTAAGGCTTGAGAAAAAAAATTCTGTTCAGATGTCTTGGATTACATCGCCACATATGTATTTTGCCAGCTTGATAGAAGTAATTCAATGACTCTCATTGAGTATTGGCACAGTGGTTCACTCTTGCTCTCCAGGAAGCCATTAAATACCTGCCGAGAAGAGAGCTTAGAGTGGTGGATACAGAATTTGTCATGAAATTTGGAGTGGGGACTTCCTTTAACAGTAGAAAAAAATTACAATCACTGATCATTTTAATTTCCCCACAATCTCTGGCTTCAACCTTTTGAGTTGACTTACAAATCAAAATTTTCCCTTTATAACACAGCTCAGGGAGTTTTGGGGTGAAGGTTATTTCAAAAGAAAAGCAAGTGGGATCCAGATTGCCTGGGCAACACGGTCTGTCATGGTAGTATCCGTGTCAACTCCACTGACTTCTACCTTCCTCTTCCGTGGCTGTTCTTCCTCTCTCATTGCTCTCTCTGGGGACTTCCATGCAGGACATCCCCGGATTAGGTGACGACGGTTATGGAACAAAGACTCTGAGTAAGTTTCCAGGAATGGTCACTGTTAACTTTTCCTTTCCTTTTGAGTTTGGCTTTTGTTCCTTTTCTTGAGGGCCTTTCATTCCTAGCATGCACACGATACGAGTTTGATTTGTTACCTAGCTGTGAATGCTCCTACGGAATAATTTTCAGTCATTTTGTTCTGCATGTCAGCATTTAAGAGCCAAGTGTGTCAGGCAGTCTTAACTCCTGCTGTGGGCAACACCTCCCCCTTTCTGGCCGGGTGACAATGGCCAACATGGTCTGCATGCCCATCGGGGCATCATTTGCTCAGCCACCAACCTCCTCTCAGGGAGCAAAAGACCATGTTGTAAAGAAAGGGTGAGCGAAGTGTTCTAAAATGGCAAAGTAGAAATATTCTTTATGTTCTTTCTTCTGCCTTTTCAACATGGAAAGCTATATAACCTTGCCCAATTCTATAATTGACCTATACTTTGCTGTTAATAAAGGAGCTGTTTTGTAATCAAAAGCAACATGCACTCTCGAAAAGTAAATATTAAGACATCTGAGCCTTAATTCTTTGTTATTAACTTTGATTTTTTTTTCTCTGACTTGCAGTGGTCCTGCTTGAACCGTTTGATAGTTTTAGATAAATATTAATACCTTTGCCTATCTGACTTACCAGCTGCATAAGGTTGTCAGGGCTTCAACTTATAGTGCAGAATGAAAAATAAGATATAATTAAACCTTTACATTTTTTTCTACTTATTCATATCTTTGGTCTATGTCTTATTGCACTCAGCAATTAAAAACAAGGATCTATGTCTGAAAATCCTACACTATGATTTTACTCTCTTTAATCCTAATCCCACTCTAGAAGAATCAATGAAATAGCAGAATGTCATATTTTTTGCAAATGTATCAATATTTAATTTTGTTGTGTTTGTTTTAGTGTAATAGCTACAGGGAGATACTTTCAGTTGTTCATTTCATCCTATAAAGCAAAACACCATTGAGCTGGACTTCACATTCAAGGGCTGCTCACATAAGCCTGTGCGTGTGGTCATGCCTGTCTTCCAGGGTTCGAGTTTAGCCTCCCAGCAGTCTGTTTTAGACTGGAGAAAACAAAATCTGGTCAAGGGCTACTCGCCTTAAAGATGAAAACTTTATCTTTAAAAGATGATGTACAGTGTGGTGTGAAATTTAACCACTGATTCCAGCATCATCTGGAAGGCACCACACACCATCTGGGCGAATTTATACACTTTTAGTTTGGAAAAGGAAAGTGACTGTTTTAGCGTATCACTAATACTAAGCATCATTTAAAAAAGTATGTAATGCCCTGTTGGATCCAGAATGTCCAGATGTTTGCTTATTCTGTGAAAACTGGACAGATTTAATTTATGAAAAAACACATCAGGGAGTCCTCACATCATCGTGTCGAAGGAGACAAGATAGGAACATCCACGAGACGCCAAGAAGCAGGGATGTCTCCATGATGTGTTCCCATATTGACAGCACAGTTCTGGCCATGAAGCCACACAGAGAGGAATGGTTTGAAATCAGCATTTGCTTTGGTTTTCATTCGTTTTATGCTATAGAACCAATCCCCCTCAGCAGACCAAAAAAAAAAAAAAGTCAAAGCATTTATTTATTTTTGCTTTTAGAGAAGAATGTAGCTTCCTTTTCTCTCTCTTAAGTATTATCAAACAGCTGAAAGCCAAGTAGTCGCATATTTCGTCTTAGTGTGGTGGCACGTGAAGCAGCTGATAAGTTATACATGATCAGCTCATCGACTGAACAGCACACGTATCTCCGCTGTTGGGCGAGACATAATTCATGCCTGATCCTGCACTGGGTACCAGGCCATTTGTCTTCTGCCGCTCTATTCTCCCAGAATTTAATAGCTATTCAAGCAAGGATCGTAGAATAGAAACTAAGCCGAGAACCATTTCTCAGGGACTATTTCCTCCTGTATTCTCTACTCACTGAAGCAGGAGAGAGCTTCAAAAATCCCTTTTACACCTGAGGATTTGCTTGCAAAGTTGTTTAAATGGAAAATCGGAGGGACTCCAGGGAGCAGTTGGCAAATGCAGTCTTCCTTCAAGATAACTAAGGACTAAAATAGATACAGAAAATCGCCTGCCCAACAGTGGGCACACACTGTCCTCCACAACTTCTGGGAGACCAGAGCTCAATAGATACGTCACTTATAGAAAGAACATTACCTGGGTTGCCATTGTTTGCTGTTTGCTAACTAAAGGTACTTTCCTCATTTGCCGGGAGGAAGAGACGGCAGTATTGTGCAAAGTGGCCATAAAGTTTTCATCTTTGTCTGATCTGGGTTCTCTCAGTGCGGTTCTTCTGCAGCCTCTCACTGCCCCTCCGCTCACGTTTCCAGTAGCTTTGCATGGGTGTGTCCTTTCGGTGCTGGCTGCTCTCTGACGCTTGATCCTTCTTTAATTTGCTGTGCTGTCCTTGCAGAACACGTCTCCTCTAATGCCAGCGATAGCGAAAGTAGCTGCCGTAAGTTACTGCTTGGGCTTGTGGTTCTTTCCTTTGCAGTGACCCCCGTTGCCTGTGGTCCTTATTTCAGGCTCTTTTCTCCTGCTGCCTCTTATCGTCACCCTGGCTCCAAAGCAAATGGCTTGAAACGAAATCAGCATTTGATGTGGGAAGACACAAATGACATGGGGGCCAGCAGGGGAACCTAACATGATTTGTACACGCAGGGCCAGAGTTTTCTAAGCCCGATTCGAACCTCAGCTGGTTGTGACCCCATAATGGAGGATTTTGACTTTCTATTCCCCTAATCAATTTAACCATCATGGAGGAAGGGAGAAGGTCATGGTTCTATTCTCTTCCGCATTTTGCCTTTTCCCTCCCGCCCCTGGAGCAGCAGCATGTCTTACAGTGCTCCTTTAGATGGGTGTCTGTTGTACCACACTTCCTCCTTGGTACCACTTCCTCCTTGATTAAGATTTTGAGACACATAGCACACCTATGCGTCTCACCTTATTTGGGGGATGGCTGGGAAATTGATGGAAAACTCTTCATCTAATGCTGAATTTCCAAAACATTTTAGGTCACATCATAACTGAAAAGGTAGGTAACTACTGAAAAATGTCCTCTGTCTTTCTTTGGACACCTCAAGCCATTTGCTTAAGTGTATGGAAATATTTACCAGACAATAAGCACGTCCTTCTAATCAGCCCTCATGGTTTCTTGCTGCCTACTTCCTGGTCTTTGGTGACTAATCTAGGTACCTATTTACCACTGGGTTTTTTTTATAGTATCTTTAATATTGATTTGCACTCCTTAATAAAATGGGGTTCCCCAAAAGCAATTGTTAAAAGGCATCAGAAAACTGCCAGGCCAGTACAGGACCCACAGAAATGAATACCAATGCAAAAATTGAAAAGTAAAAGACAATACCAATTAATTTTCAAGCAAAATTGTTTGGGGCATCCCTGCCCTGCCCCATTAAAGTATGGTACTTTATAAAAATCGTTGCTTTTGAGGCAGAGTACCGATTAGTAAGAGTAGCCGATGGGGTTTTGAAGACGCAGACTATTGGCCAGTAGAACACATGCACACACGAGACAGGAGAGTGTCTGGTCATGGTGAGGACCAGAAAAGAAATATGACACAGACCAAAGATAGACTGACAAAATTGTGGTAAGATGCCCAGGCAGAATGTTAAAGTTGCGTAATTGTCAAATTGATGGATCCTATCGAGTCTCACTGACGGAAGGATTCAGAGTTCTTATGTTCAACTTGGTTGCTTTCTTCCTTCTCATAACCCAACGGTAGGAGAGGAAAAAAACAAACTGTGATTTTCAATTCAGATGAGTCAAGAAGGAGGGGTCAAAGCTTGTCTTTCTGACTCCGTGAGGCACCCTCAACCTTCCACGAGGAGGAATGTGATGTACCTGTTTGGTTTCATGAAAATCACGGACACTAATTTCTCTAGTTTTCAGTTCTCAAGGCTTTGCTCCCATCCAGTAGACAGAGCCATAGAAAAAGCAAATGGCACCCCTTATTCCTCAGTCCTCTTTATGGGGTGCACTACCTTCTTTGGGAATTACATTTTTGGAATATGTTTTCCAGAACCTAAGTCATCTTTGAGCCATTGGGGTAATGTCCTGGGATGACACCAATCTCCCCCCCACACACAAATAGTAGCTGCACACCAATATTTATTGAGGGAATAAGGAAGCAATTGCTTATGCCACAAGTTAC